AAAAAAAAAAAACCAAAACAAAACAAAACAAAAAACCCTAGGGGCTGGGCATATAGCTCAGTGGCGCAAGCACCTGCCTGGCAAGTAGAATGTCCTGAATTCGATTCCTGGTACCCCCTCCACAAAAAATTTAAAAACCCCTGAAATAATAATAATAAATAAAAGTAACACTAGTTTTCCTTATTTTTTATTTATTTTTATTTTTATTTCTTTTTGTCTTTTTGAGACAAGGTCTCACTATGCAGTTCAGGCTGGCCTTGAGCTCACTTTGTAGCCCAGGCTGGTCTTGAACTCACGATGATCTTCTTGCCTCAGCCTCCCGAGTGCTGGGATTACACGCATGCACCACCAGGCCTGGCAAACTAGTTTTCTTTCTTTTTTAAAAAGAAAGGAGTGTCTTTTTGAGACACGGCCTCACTATGCAGTTCAGGCTGCCCTTGAACTCAACTTTAACTTACACTGACCCTCGTGCCTCAGCCTTCTGAGTGCTAGGATTACAGGTGTGGGCTACCAAGCCTGGCAAGGGAGATGATCTTTAAGGGGGAACTATCATCTTGGACACATCTATGTGCATTTGGCTCAGTCTTGAATGGCGTAGGATAAGGTGGCAAAAAAAAAATCAGTAGCATCCATCATTGTGCACACACTTACTGAGTGCTTACCACATGCAGACACTGGAGACGCAATGGTGCAGAGGAGGGATCCGTGTCTGTTGTGAGCAATGCAGTCTGGTTTTGTTTGTTTGTTTGCTTGGGGTTTTTTGAGACAAGGTCTCACTACATAGCTCAGGCTGACCTTGAACTCACTATGTAGCCCAGACTGGCCTCGAACTCACAGCAAGCCTATTGCTTCAGCCTCCCGAGTGCTGGCATTACAGGTGTGCACCACCACGTCAGGCTGCAGTCTGTATTACTGCCTTATCTAGTTCCCGGGTAGCATGGAAAGACTGAGTAAAGACTGCTCCATCTGATATTTAAAGCAAGGTTCTCAGAGATGGCGCTTACCCCAGGTGACTTGTGATAATGTCTGAAGACGCTTGCAAATGTCACACCTGGGATGGGTGACGGAGTGAGTGCTGCTGACATCTCATAGGCAGAGGGCGGGGTCGCTGGTGAACATCCTACGATGCACAGAACAATGCGTTATCTGGCTCAGATATCAACAGTGTGGAGAGTGAAAAACCCTGACTGAAACCAGAATTCTTGGAGAACGCGCAGAATGAAACCTGGTGGGGAGAGAGGGCACGGACAAAGAAAGGATGGCAGCCCCAGGGCATGAGGGAGCAGGGGAAACACGTACCTGGGCCACTGCAGAGGCTGTTAGGCAAAACTATGGATGGAGAAAGTCCCGATTTACTGAGATGCCTGGTCCAAAGTGAATTTGGAAATTGCTTCTCTGGCATAGCTTGGATCCTCTGTCTGCCTCCCTGCAGAAGGAGACCATATGGTGAACATGAAAGGCTCTGGAAATAAAATCAGATCTGGGTTGCATCTCAGCTTCACAAGAATCAAAATCACTTGACTGGGCCGGGCATGGTGGGGCACACCTGCAATCCCAGCACTCGGGAGGCTGAGGCAGGAGGATCCTTGTGAGTTCGAGACCAGCCTCGGCCGCAAAGTGAGCTCAAAGCCAGCCTGAACTGCAGAGTGAGACCCTGTCTCAAAAGACCAAAAAAAAAAAAAAAGTCACTGTTCGGGAGCCTCAGTTTGCACTTCTGTGAACCTCATTGACAGCAGCTATTTGAACGTACTTGGTTCTCTGTAGACACTCAAATATGACTGGCGTTCTATTTTTGGACTGTATCATTAAGTGAGAAGAGTAGTTCCAAAGAAGAACCTATTGCATGCTCAAATTTTTGTTAAATACAAATACCTGCTGAGAAAATCATCTAGAGATAACTACATGAAGTGCTTAGCACACAATGGCTCCCCACATTGAGTCGGGGGAAACACAACATAAAACACAACAAAATCCAAATATGTTACTTTTGGTATTAGATAGCAAATGCATGTTACCACAACTTTTTTTTCAGTACTGAGGATTGAGCTTAGGGTTTGTGGACTAAGTAATATCCCCAGCGCTTTTTAAATTTTTAATTCTGAGACAGGGTCTTGCTAAGTCACTAACTTGCCAGAGTGACTCAAACTGGTGAGTCTCCTGCCTCAGCCTCCCGGAGTGCTAGGATTGCACAAGTGCACCACCATGCTTGGCTTATTGCAGCTCTTAGAGGTTCTCTTTTTCAAAAATGCTTTATGATATAAGGAAATACTTAAGACGCAACTTCAGCAAAAGAAAAAGGAAAGCGAGATAGAAATTGTGCAGACCAGCCGGGCGTGGTGGCGCACGCCTATAATCCCAGCACTCGGGGAGGCTGAGGCAGGAGGATCGTTGCAAGTTCAAGGACAGCCTGGGCTACAAAGTGAACTCAAGGCCAGCCTGAACTGCATAGTGAGACCTTGTCTCAAGAAGACAAAAAAAAAAAAAAAAAAAAAGAAAGTGTGCAGACCTACACTGTTCACTTCAGTAGCCACCAACCCCCACGTTGCTGCTGATCACCCAACCTGGGCCAGTCCTGTATCGGGGTGTGTCCACATGTTAGATATCTCATTAACACTTTATATGATAAATGGCAATACTTTGGATATCCTAAAATGAATAAAATAGATTGTTACAGTTAGTTTCTCCTGTTTGTTTTCCCTTGTCTTTAATCAGACTACTGAAACATTTAAAATTCTATCTGTGGTTCACACCTGTCATTTACATAAGTATTTCTTTGCACGTGTTGATAGAGATACTGTAAAGTTGGCTGTAACACGAAAAAAATGCAGAGAAAAAACTGAGTGGAAAAATACCAAACCCATCATTACAATGGCGTGTGAGTGATGGGACGATGAGGGACTTCCCCAGCTTCTTTACACTTTTCTGTGCTTTCTCGATGTCCTTTGGGGTGCAGATGTCCCCGCGATATCTACAAAAGGGCAAACGGAATTTAGAATCTCTGCTGCAGCCCAGGGCAACACTGTGCCTTCTTTAAAAGATTGTATCTTATGGGGTCTGTTATTAAAGATGTTCCAATGAAAGATGAATTCTACGGGGGCCGTGGTGTGAAGGGCAGGTCCAACGTTCTCCTCCATCGCCCTCTCCCTAAGGAACAGGGGCGTCGTCCCAGGACCTCAGCACAAAAAGGGAACCGCGGGTAGGGGGACTGCGCGCGCGCGGCAGCTCCTGGAGGATCACAACATCCCCGGGCAAGGAAGTGAGTCACGCAGTGAGTCATCTCTGACTTCATTCTTCATTCTTGGTATTGTTCCATGTGGCTTCTCCTCTCTGTCACCCTTTTCCCCCGAGCCACATGTGTGGCCGGGGCTGGGGGAGGTGGCCAAGGCGGAGAAAGGCTCCTGGGTGCTGAAGACGTCGAAGTGGTCGGTTCGCAGTACTGCTTGTGTCACCCACGTGATCTCCGCTCCCCCTCAGGTCAGCCCAGCTCCAGAGCTGTCTTGAGCAGCCCCGTTTTACCCAGCAGGAAAGTGAAAGGCTGAGAGGTTAAAGACTCAGCTTAGGTGAGAGCCAGCTCCAAAACAGAAAGTACCCTGCAGCCCCGTGGACCCTCACGTTGGCATGTAGGTCTGCCCCCGGCCAATCCGGGAAGTGATTAACGCGTGTTTCCAAGTCTCCATCACTGTCCAACGACCTCCTATGCTCACTCCCTCACAAAGCATGGCTCTGCAGAAAGAGCCTGAGTCTGACAGCCGCGGCCGGGGAGAAGGCGCCATGGTAGAACTGGGCTAGCGTGCACGAAGCCCTGGATTCTATCCCCAGCACTGAACAAAGTCTGGGATCAGACATTTACACTAAAGTCTGAATTTAGGCCCGTCCTTACTGCTTTCAAGGAAGACCTGCAGGTGAAGATCTATTCCAACTGGAGGGTGAAAGACAAAAACAAATTTCTGCTACTAAGAGACATAGCAGGAAGATGTCTGAGGGAGAGTCCGTTCTCACTTCTGCTCCCTCCTGAAACAGACCGGCAGCCACCCTCAGCTGTCCACCAAGGACCCCCCTCACCCTCAGCCGACGAGCTGAAGGTGGCCGGGACTGGTGCCCAGGAAGATGCTTATAGGCTGCGGCAGCCACTAGAACGCCACGCCCTGGCGGATTCCAGCAGCCCTCACAAGTGCCTGGGAAATAAGCAGACCGCTTTCTTTCCAACCTTATTTATTTATTTGTTTGTTTATTTATTTACTTATTTTGGTGTTTTTGAGAGCGGGTCCAGCTATGCAGTTCAGGCTGGGCTTGAGCTCACTTTGTAGCCCAGGCTGGTTTTGAACTTGCAAAGATCCTCCTGCCTCAGCCTCCCAAGCGCTGGGATTACAGGTGTGTGCCACCACGCCTGGCTGCCTTTTTGATTATTTTGATAATTTATTGTTTTTATAGGTAATGCATTCACATGGTTTGAAAATTACAAATATTAAACATATATACTCTATTGAAAAGCTTTTTTTCTATCAGTTTATACCCCAGGCCCCATCTCTGCTGTTACTTATTTCTTAGGTATCTTTTCTTTTCTGTCTTCTCTCTCTCTCTCTCTCTCTCTCTCTCTCTCTCTCTCTGTCTCTCTGTCTCTCTCTCTCTGTCTGTCTCTCTCTCTCTCTCTCTCTCTGTCTGTCTCTCTGTCTCTCTCTCTCTTTTGCTTGTTTTTTGAGTCACAGTCTTGCTATGAATTCCAGGATGGCTTGGAACTCACTATATAGCCCAGGCTGGCCTCGAACTCTAGGTGATTCCTGCCTCAGCCTCCTGAGTGCTGGGATTTTAGATGTCTGTCTCCGTGCCTGGCTCCTGTGTATCTTTTCAGAGTTAATTTATAAATGCCAAGCATGCTGGCACATGGTTGTCATCTCAGCACTCTGGGAAGTAAGGTAGGAGGATTACAAGCTTGACCTCAGCCTGGACAATTTAGCAAGCCCCCGTTTCCTAATAAAAAATTTAAAATGGACTGGGGATACGGCTTAGGGTAAAGGCCTTATGTTCAGTCCCAAGAACCACAAAAAAAAAAAATAAACACAGATACCCACATGCATGCACACACCACCCTTCTATTTATACAAAGGTTACAGAGTCGTTTAACAAAAATGCTGGAGAAAGAATGCAATGCTACTAACACTTTAGTGAAAAGGAATCTATAGGTAGGTATTTTTTCCTGGGGGCACTAGCTAGGCCTCTTTCTTCTGCTTTTGCATATTTAAAAGGTCAGGCTTAATGGGGCATAACTTACATACAGTAAAATTCACCCTTTTTTAACTGAACAATCCTGCCAGTTTTGACAAATGAACATCGTCCTGTAGCCGCTGCCACAGCCCGAGATACAGAAACGTTCTAAGTCTTCCCCCATTCTTTCATGTCCAGGGTCCTTCTCTACCCTCACTCCCAGCCCCTAGGAATCTCTGATATTTCTCCGTCCTTACAGCTTTTTCTTTTCCAGAATGTCCTTTTTTTTTTTTTTTTGGACAGGATCTCAGTGTGTAACCCAGGCTGGCCTCAAACTCGAGGCAATCCTCCTGCCTCAGCCTCCTGAGTGGTGGGATTAAAGGCATGTGCCACCACATCTGGCCTCCAGAATGTCATTAAAATGGAATCATACAAAATGTAACCTTTTGTGCTTGGCTTTTTTATCACAGCGCATCTGAGATTCACCTCTGTTAGTATGTGTGTTGCATTATCAAGAGTCTGTTCCTTCTTACTGGTGACTTGTATTCCATGAAGTGAATGTATGACAGGTTTTTTAAATCTGTGTATCAATTAAAGGATGCTTGAGGGCTGGGGATACAGTTCAGTGGCACAGCACCTGTTTGGCACACGAAAGGTCCTGAGTTCAACTCCTGGTACAAACAAAAAAAGAGGATGTTTGAATATTATGCAGTCTGGAGCTATGGATTTTCACATACAAACTTTTGTGTGAACAGACATCTTCATTTCTTCTGGATGAATGCACAGCAATGGAATTGTTGAGTGGTAGGAAGGGTAACATTTCCATTTTATGTCATTTTTCACTTTACAATAGGCTGGACGTGGTGGCACATGCCTGTAACCCCAGCACTATAGGAAGCTGGGGCAGAAGGATTGTATTTATTTATTTATTTATTTAGTCTTTTTTGAGACAGGGTCTCACTGTGCAGTTCAGGCTGGCCTTGAGCTCACTTTGTAGCCCAGGTTGGTCTCAAACTCAAGGATCCTCCTGCCTCAGCCTCCCGAGTACTGGGATTACAGGCATGTACCACCATGCCCAGCCAGAAGGATTGTAAATTTTAGTTCAGCGCAGGGAATTTAGTGAGATCCTGTCTCAAAAATAAAAAATTAAAAATGGGCTGGGGATGTAGCTCAGTGTGAAGGTCTTGGGTTCAGTCTGCAGTACTGGGGTGGGTGGGGAAGCCCTGTGACCTGATTTGTTAACCTCCTTTCCAGAGGGGATCTGAAGGCAAGAGAGTTTTGTGGGCTGGCTTTCCACATTTCTCAGCAGGTAAGTGGTAGAGATGGGATTTGAACTCAGATCTGAAAACAAACAAAAAGGGCCTTCCTGTCGGAACGGCTATGCGATACTGACTTCCTGCCACTACCTTCAAAGGGGCCAAGACATCTACAGCTAGAGGCTAAAGGGATTAATAAAATACAAACCTCACTTTCTTTCTAATTCTGGCTCCCTTACAAGAATTCTGCCTTGTGCTGGGAGGAAATCCTAGCAGGGGCCCCTGGAGGCTGGCTGTATGCTCTGCTGCCTTCCGACTACTACCGGCTTTCCAAAGGGAATGATTCCTAATGTTTATAAGTAGGTATGGAATGTGCTCTTAAAAGTTTCTAGTTCACTTAACACGCAGCGTCTCATCAGAGAACGACCATGCAGAGTGGGCCTGCCTCCCCCGGCCCACCCGCAGAGCCGCCACACCTGGCCAGCTGGGTGCAGAGGAACCCTCTTGCGGCCCATATTATTTCACTCCGTTCTGAGCCACTCGGCCTTCCCCTTGTGCAATGACAACCTGGCAATTCCAAACGCCCTCTTGGCATGCCTGGATTGGCAGGGTGGTGGCCTGGAAAGGGCAAGAGCTGGGGACGCCAGTCCTTCCCTGAGGGATTCCTGGGGAATTAGGAGGGCTTTTTGCGTGCCCCACGGGGCCTGCACCCAGGAGGCAGGCAGCAAATTGTCGTTCCCCTTTGCCTTTCCTAATAGAAGACATAGGCACCAAACAAGCGAGCGAGACTCTGGAGGCCAGACTGCCGCTGACGTGCTGGGCGAGCAAGGAAGTCACCTTTCCACTTTGTGTGTTGGGTTTCCACATTCAGAAAAGCGGACCAGTCCAAACGCACTGCAGGGAACAGAAGGGGAAAAATGGCCCCATCTTTCCAGGGTTGGGGTGTCGCTCAGTAGTACAGTGCTTGCCTAGCATGTGTGAGGCCCTTGGTTCAATCTGCAGCACTGGAAGGAAGGAAGAAAGGAAGGAAGGAAGGAAGGAAGGAAGGAAGGAAGGAAGGAAAAAAGAGGAAGAAAAGAAAAAAGAGGAAAAAAAGAAAAGAAAGGGCCCTCTTTTTCCCCTGAAAGAGGGATTAAGGGAAAAAGTCTTAATCCCTTGACTGCCAGAGGCCCTGTCCTCCTGAAAGAGATGAGATTTTATTACATTATTATATTATATTTTTTATATTATTCCATGAGAAACCATGGGATAGATAGATTCTCTGCCTCACATTTGTAGGGCAACGTGAGTGTCTGTAATAACAATGGCACCAACCACTTTAAATTATTGTTTTGTGGTATCCTCACAAAAGAATTAAAAGCTTCGGACAACAGCAATATATGCGCAGCCATGCTCACAGCAGCGCCGTTTGTGGGTTGGGAACCCAGGGAGCCTCTGTACCTCGCTTAGCTGCTTGACGGGTGAAATGAGAGCATGTAAAAGAGCCGGAGGTTTCACATGAATTCCATCTGCCCTGCGCATAGGGTGACCCAGTCCCCCTGATCTGCAGT